CACTTTTTTTTTTTTTTTTTTACGTCATAGCATCTAGTCTAGAAGCAATATGGACTGAATATTTGCGGACTGAATGAACACAAATATTTAAAATTGTGAGACTTTAAGAAAAATATTTAGACTCAGTCTATTATAAATTTTTATAAATTGACTCTTTTGAGTCAAGAAACGTTGCATTCCAATTTAGATCCACATTAGATGTAGATATGGAGGGCACACGGACCTCCACTGCTGTGCTCTCCATTAACCCCACAGCGCTTCCTTCCGTTCATTTTCTGCAGAGCAACAGAATGAACAACTGGGCTTGCGTCTCACAGAGAATCCCAGGGAACATTCATGACTCTGACAAGCGTCCCAACATAGGAAAAGAAACCATAGGGCCTCTTTTCTAGGGAGGGCGCTCCTGAAGGGAACTTCTACTAGATGGAGGAGTGTCCTCCCAGTAACTACAAATCATGGGATTTTCCTGCAGTTCAGCCAAAGTTATGAATCAGAATTACATAAACAAGTAGGCAGGTCTCAAACGACCTTCAAAAATATTTTTACTGCTTACATTTTAGTCTGACTGGTAAGTCCTAACACTTTGTGGAATTACAGGGAATCGCCCTCTACCTTAAAAAAAAATCATTCTCCTATGGCAAAAGCTGTCACCCTCATTTTTCAGACCCAGAAGCCTCACACAAGAGTTCAGTGTGTGATCAGCACAACCAGAATGTATTTGCACCCCAGGGACTGTTCTACCCACTGTTTGCACTGCAGAGCCCTCTAGTGGAAAGCAGGAGGCTTGGCTTTTCCAGGCCCATTTCTCTGAATCACATCCCACTAACCGGCCCATGTTTCTCACCTGTGTCTCAGGTAAAGGAGGCCATGCAGCGCATCCACGACCGAGGGAACATTGGCAAGTTAATTCTGGATGTAGAAAAGACACCGACTCCACTGGTGAGTGAAAATCAGAGGAAATTATCCAGCTGAACGCCAAAGACACATCAAAGGACTGTCAGGTGTAGGCACAGCTGGAGCAGAAAGAAGCAGGCGAGCCTGCCGAGCTCTCAAGGCCAGGGGTGATCAAACGATTCCAGAAATGAGGGATTAGGCACGGACTGAGATGAAAGCAAAGGGAGGCAAGTTCTTTAGTGAGAGCAGTTGACGACACGGACAGGAACGGGGGAGGCGGGGGGTTGCAGGTGCCATTTCTAGTCTGCCACAATGGGAAGGATTCCTAGTCGGTTTTAAGAAATGAAGTTGCACGTGCCCAGTGGAACGATGTCAGCCACCTCTGGGATGCTTTCCAGTGCTTCTGTTGATCTCATTTGCTTTAATCAAGACACTATCCTAATATCGAGGCAATACACAAGAAATACAGCATGCCAGACTTATCTGTTTCCCAATAGGCTGCCTTGCGGGGAGGGGTATCATGGCTTAGCCCTTAATACACAGACTCTGCCTGCATTCAAAGCTCCAGTGCTGAACCTATTTGCAACTTGGGCAAGTTGCTTTTCACTCCAACCTGGGTGTTCTGCTTATGAGCTAGAGATGGATACGTTCTCCTGAGACACTTAGAATGGCACGAAGCATCGTTGGCCCATACTAAGGTCTAGGCGAGGCCAAACAAAGAAAACCTTTAGGGAGCTTTGCCGTTGTTAAGCTTCTCTGCTGATATGTGAGTCTTCAAGCCATTCTGTCTTAAGAGTAGGAACTCAAATGACTAGCATGTCTCAGTCCAAGTGGAGTTTTCTTTGAGACAGGGTCTCCCTATAGCCCCAGCTGGCCTGGAACTCACTATGGCGACCAAGCTTGCCTTGATCTCACAGAGATCTGCCTGCCTCTGCCTCCTGAGTGCTGAGATTAAAGATGTGTGCCACCACGCCTTGCCCAAATGGGTATTTTTAGAAATACTGCTTTGTTACTGCAACCGTGTTGTGGCTCAGGTTTAATGGCCATTTCACTCAGTGTAAGACAGTTAAATGAGAGAGCATTTTATGGCATTTAAGTCATAAATAAAAGTGACTGGTAGCAATATGGATATACTTTAAGAAATGCTTGCGACACCCCAGGACTATTGGCAGACAATGACAAGGTTAGGGAGAAGGGACTGGGATCCCAGGCTTCCTATGAAACTACACTGTGGCCTTCAAACATGTGAACAGGTCTCTTTCAGCCCCCATACACAGAAGGCTCTAAAGCTACCCTGGTCAGCTATTGCTGTTGCACACAAGAGCTCACCCTAGCTTTCTATCCAGAGGCATTTCCCATCTCCATTGATCCATGAGATTTTGCTGGTCCTCAGGCTGGGAGAAGGCCTGTTTGATAAAGGGGGCATGCTCATTAAAGCGAGGCTAAAAAGACCTCCTTCCAGGCCAGGAGTTCAGGACCTGCCATTGTTGAGTTCTGGGAATGCATTTACCCTGACACCCAAAGAAATAGACAGTGAAGAATGGATACTTAGCACATCAAGTTGGTGGGGGGACCACAACCCTTCTAGATGAAAGACTAGAATTGAAGGGAACATCGAGTCAGGCTGAACCTGGGGCGTCGTAAGATTCAGGATACACCCAGCGAAGTCATTTCCAGGGCTAGCATGTGATGCTAAAGGGAACAGCACAGGCTTAGCTCAGCAGGTGTTGGTCAAGGTTGGACGATGTTGGAAGGGGCTTTCAGAGGCACTTTCTCTATGGGATGAGCACTCTGAAAGAAGACTGTCCACGTGGCTTCATCAGATGCTCAGACAAGATGTGGGGTAGGGGTGGGAAGTAGAGTCCTCCATCATGACCGCTGTTGAATTACAGATGGCCAATGACAGCACAGAGACCAGCGAGGCGGGGGAGGAGGAGGAGGACCATGAAGGCGACAGCGAGAATAAGGAACGGATGCCCTTCATCCAGTAAGCCAGACCTCGGGTCCGAGAACGTGAAGGGCGATTGAAAGATGATGATCGTCATGAGAACTCCTCTGTGCCCCAGTGAACAAATGCTGTAGTCCAGTGTGTGTTGTGTTTGTCTGCAGTCAGCCGAGCTAAGAAGCTGTTGATCACTGTTGTTTTTTGGAATTAAGTGCCAATCCCATTTCATGCAGTATTGTGTCCCTTCTCCGTCTGTGTATCACATGCTCCCCTCTCCCTTGTATCAAACCCATCCTTCTCGGGTCCTTCTCGACAGTTCTAGAACAGTCTTGCAAATTAATGCAAGTCCACAGTGCCCAGACACCGGCAAGGCCAAGTTTGACTGAAAGGTGTTATCAGAGAGCACTATCCAGGTCCCAGCATTTTTCAGGCCAGTGACACTCGTTGCCAGCAATCAGCCATGCCTCCAACCCCAATGCTTGCCAGTTTGGCTGGTGGCAAGAGAGTAGGCCAGGAAGGATATTCATAACCCCATAAATGCAGGATTCTCCAAACAGTATTTTTCTTTCTCTAAAAGTCCATCTCCTTGTAAAGTCCATCCCCGGGTCTTAAGGCCATAGATTTGAGCCTCTCTCTGACCCTCTTACATTTGATCCTTTCCCTGGTTCTCACTCATAAACCCAGGGAGCCAGGTGTGTGGTTTTCAGAATAGGGATGGGTTAACAACATGTATTTAAGGACCAGCTATAGAGACCTCTCTCCTGAAACCCTCTTGTGGCCATACACAGTTTATTTAAATCCAAAGAAAACTCACCCCATGTAGGACTAACTCAGATGTCATTAAACACTCCTGGGTTCTCACCCTGGCCTTCAGCATTACCATGTGTTGTTTTCTAAGTTCCTGGAAAGCACCATCTTACCCCAAGAAAGAGCTCCCTTGCAGACCATATTTGGGGGAGGGGGAATGAGTGAATTTATTTTGCATTGTCAAAGCATGTTCCAGCATGTAACAAGCGTCAGGGATGCAGAAGGTTGCTGTCCAGCATCTGATACCAAATGCACAGTCCTCCCTCCAATATGTATAACCATGGTGCTGATTTTGCAGGGCTCCTTGAAAATTCAGGCAGCAAACTGCAGATCACATACCCCGTTCAACTGTCCATCTTGAAAGAAACATCCTCATCCTATTTGGCAGGCTTCAAAGTGAGTACTTCAGAGGGAGCGATGTCTCTGCTTCTCCACAAGGGGCCTCCTCATGTCCTCCTTCCAGCCCTCCTGTCCTAAGGGTTCACACATCACTCACAAACCAAGCTAGATATATATACAAGGAACCCAGGCAGGAAGCACCCAAGCTGGTTTTGCATTCTGGAAGACCTAAGAGGTTTCCCCCTGCCCTTGAGATTGACACGTTTCTTTGACTTCTGGAAGACATAAAAAGGTTCTTGTGACACACGCCTTTAATCCCAGCACTTGGGAGGCGGAGGCAGGTGGATTTCTGTGAGTTCAAGGCCAGCCTGGTCTATATTGTGAGTTCCAGGACAGCTGGGGCTACAGGGAGACCCTGTCTCAAAAAGACAAAAAAAAAAAAAGGTTCCTGTGTTGTCCATTTTCTCCACAAAGAAGTCAGAGGGTGGATCCAGCTCTTCCCCCACGGGATAAAAACTAGTGCATTTCAACAGTGACCTGTTTGGCTTCCAAAGATTTTTTTTGTAACAAGTCTCCCCTCCTTCATCATGGTCCTTTTGTCCCTGCCCTAAATTTGTGATAAATTCTTTATGCCAAATATTTACCTGAAGGGAATCTCTCCTCACTGTGAATGTACTAAATATGAAGATGGAAAAAAACGCTGCCAACCAATAAGCTAATGGGTGAGAATTCCCAAGAGGGTGCCAATCACTTATCTCTCTTTTCTGCCCCAGGAATGACAAGCATTCCAGTTCTTGGCTATCCAAGTGCTATTACTGGTAATCAAAGATAGCATTCTGGAGGGGCTAAGAGCCACCAGCTCTGTGCCAGCTCTTCTTTAGGGGATGGGAAACCCGACCCACACCCAGATGCAGATGGTCCATAGCACATACAGCGGAGAAGCATGGAAAGTCAGCTCTCCCTAGATCTTTTTTTTTTTTTTAAACAAGCAGAGTTAATTGGGTAGTCATATGCCTGTCAGTTGTAACCCTCTCTCCTCAGAACACAGAACAAGAAAACTAGTTTGAGGCCAATATCACCATGAGGTACAGGAGGGTGGGTGAGGGACATTGGACTTGGTCAGTCATCTCGTGGAGTCTGTTTGCTGAAGGAAGCATAAAGAGTGTCTCAGTTTGCCGTAACAGAGCTGTGAAGGCTTCTCTATAGGTTAAGCTTTATTGGAGTGAACCGAAACATTGTCTAATGTGTCTGTGGCTTCAGAGCTTCTGTTATATTGTGCCTACAAAGCAAATTATGTTTACATAAAAATATAAATAAAGTATTCAGCATAGCATCACCTCTTCTGGCAGCCTTTACTCTATGAAGTACTTCAACGGGCAATCACAATATTAAAACATAAGGAGTAAGCAACTGAAAAAAAAAAGAAAACTTAAAAACAGGATAGGAGATCCCTGAACAAAAACTGGAGACCCCATGGAGAAAGAAGGGACTGAAATGTGCCCAGCTTTTTAAAGAGACATTTAGGCTAGGCGTGGGGGTGCACACCTGTAATCCCAACACTTAGGAGGGAGGGACAGGAGGGTCAGGAGTTCAAGATCATTCCTCTGCTATGTAATGAATTTGAGCCTAGCCTGGGCTACATGAGATCTTCTCTCAACAAACAAACACCCCTAAATTTAAACCAAACAACAAACAACTCATATATTGATGATCCAGGCTTGTGGATTCAAGCCTGTAATCCCAGCACTAGGTAGGCAGAGATGCAAGGATCATGAATTTCAGTAATGGGCTATATAGCAAGTCTTTGTTGCCCCTCCTCCCCCCCAAAGCAAGGGGCTGGAGAGATGGCTCAGCAGTTAAGAGCACTTACAGAGGACCCGGGTTTGAACCCCAGCACCCACATGGCGGCCAACAACTGTCTGTAACTCCGGTTTCAGGGGATTCGACACCCTCCTCTGACTTCCTTGGGCATTGCACAACACGGGTGCACTTATACACATACAGGCAGTACTCTCAAACACATAAAATAATATTTTTTTAAAAGACAAGCAAAAACAATTCGTGTACTGATGATATAGATATCAAAAATCATAAAACGAGCAGCGATAAGGACAAGCCTTTATGAGACGCCTACTGAATGCTGCAAAAGAAAAGTGTGTGTGCTAATTCACTGAACCTCCCAACTGTGCTGAAGTAGCGGGTGGCATCACATGCACGTGCAGGGGCAGGACTGAAGCACAGTGAGTCTCTGCACTGGTCTGAGGTCACGTGGCTAGTAAATGAAGAGTCGGCATTCATCAATTCTATCTGGGCCTTTGACTAACATCTATGCTCTTACGAATGCAGTAAATAAACCTGGGTATTGTTAGAACAGGGGCCTGCACGTCAGGCCTGATTCCACAGCCTGAATCCGGCCATGCCTCCCTGCAGCTTTCCCTGGGACAAAGTTAAGAAGCAGCCTGTGGGGCTGGAGAGACGCTCAGCAGTTAAGAGCACTGGCTGCCCTTTTAGAAGACCTAGGTTTGGTTCCCAGCCCCACACGGAGGCTAACAACTGTCCATAACTCCAGTTCCAGAGGCTCCAACACCCTCTTCTGACCTCTGAGGACACTGAATGATATGGGTGCACTGACATGCAGGCAATACATTCATAACATAAAAATAATAAAGTATTTTTAAAAAGCAATTTGTGCTGTGACTTGACAGCTCTCAGTTGATGGTACTTGGCTCTTCCATGACCCTGTCCCCATGAAGTATGTTGCTAAATCACGTGATCTGAAACTTCATACCACCCTGAAAAGTCAGGCTTCTCCATTGTTCAGGGTCCTGAGATGAAGGTTTCTGTCTGAAGAGGCTCCACTGCCCCTCCACATGAAATGTTTTCTCTCTCTCTCTCTCTCTCTCTCTCTCTCTCTCTCTCTCCTCTCACTCTCACTCTCATTCTCATTCTCATTCTTTATTATTTTTATTTTACATGTATGAGTGTATTGCCTGCATGTGTGTTAGTGCATCAGTGTCATGCAATGTCCACGGAAGTCAGAAGGGGGCATCAGATCCCCTGGAACTGGAGTTAGGAATGGTTGTTAGCTGCCATGTGGGTGCTGGGAATCGAACCAAGGTTCTCTACAAGAGCAGCCAGTGCTCTTAACTGCTGAGCCATCTCTCCAGTTCATTCTCACTCTTTTTTAAGATCAATTTTTATTATTATAATTATGCACGTGTGTCTGTCTATGTGTGAGTACAAGAGCCCAAGGAGGCCAGAGGTATCAGATCCCCTGGAGCTGGAGTCACAGGCATTGTGAGATGCTGTCTGATCTGGGTGCTGGGAACCAAACTCCAATCAGCTGGGAGAGCAGCAAGGACTCTTAATCACCAAGCCATCTCTCTAGCCCCTGGTTCTCACTCTGCTGAAGCCTCTTCTTCCCCTTAAGGCTCCGTCATGTTTAGATCTCCAAATACTTCAGTGTTTCTGTGGCTCTCCCTTCCAGCTCAAGGCCCAATCATAGCCTCCCGGCCCCCTCATTATAATAAACCTCATTGAAGAGAACTGTGTCAGCTTCCTCTGGGAACATCCTCCGCAGCATTTACTTCTTTTATAATGGGTACAATGTGATGCTGGTCCAGTCATCATCCCTTGCTCACTAGAAACCCTTCAGGGAGTCTGTTTCCCTCTGATTTCAAGGTTGTGTTTGTAAATTTCTTTTGCTTTGTAGCAACTAATATGTGTGTCAAGAAGTTCCCTCCCCCTTGGCCCTCCATCCAAGTTCTCTATGAATGCCTGATTTTGAAACTCACAGATCTCAATGATGTTCATTTTGATGATATAAAATTCTCAAAGTTATGAAGGTGCTTGAGGAAAATGGCTTCTGAGGATAAAGATCTCAAGAAAGAGGAATTCTGTTCTGGGGAAGCTGTACTTCCTATTTCTCAGCAGAGAGACAGCAAACAAGGGTCAGCCCCTGCTCCCAATCCAGAGCAAAGCCAAGTGGAAAAATCTCAATTCACGAAGTAGAATGTCACACTTTTGTATAGAATTTCTGGTGTTTTTGCTTTATTGTTTTGTTTTGCAGAGATAGGGTTTCATGCAGCCCAGCCTGGTCTCAAACTCATTACATGGTGGAAAATGACCTTAACTTCTGATCCTCTTGGCTTCATCTCCTGAATGCTGAGGTTACAGTCATGCACCACCACACCCAATTTATGTGCTGAGAATCAAACCTGGCTTCCTGCATGCTAGGTGTGATGGTTTGAATGAAAATGTCCCCCATAGGCTCCAAGTATTTGGACATTTTGTCCCCAGATGATGGTGCTGTTTTGGGAGGTTTTAGAAGGTGTGGCTATCCTGGAGGAAGCATGTCACTGAGGGTGGGCTTAGAGAATCTTAAGCTTTGCCAGATCTCTTGCTTCCTGTGCCTGCGTGATGATGTGAGAGCTTAGCTTCTGCTCCTCCTGCTCCAGCCACCTCCAGCCACCATGGCTCCCTGCCATGACGGACTGTAATGTCCCTGGAACCATAAGCTCAAATAAACTCTTCCTTCTATACATTGCTTGGGTCAGTGTTTCTATCACAGCAACAGAAAAGTGACTAATACACTAGGCAAGCAAGTACCAACTGAGCTACACCCCCAGCCCTGTCAGTGAAATTCTTACAGTGGCCCTACTGAGGGGATTCCCATCCACCCTTTCTTCTCGAATGCTCATGTACTGCGTATAAATCTTACAACTGCCTTTAGCAGGTAGTGTGTGTACCCAGCCACATCCAAATAGGGTCCAGAAACAGAACCTGGGAACGAACCTAAAATTCACATCTTCACCCGTGACCCTGTGAAGGGGAATGGTGCCTCTTGGCAGCTGAAAAGAAGGCAAAAATGTTTTATTTTGATAGTCATGGAGTTAAACTTCAGAAGCCATCTTGGTGTCCAGGAAAACATCTTTGTAGGAGCAGGGAAGTGAGGAATTCCCAAGGCTGAATGTGAGGAGTGGAGAGAATATTGCAGCTGCAGTTCATAAACATGGGGATGACGGGGAAAGGGGGAAGGCAGGGTGGGAGGTCAGTACTGGGTTGGAGGGTCTTTGGGTGCTGATAATCTTAGTTTCCTAGTGAAAGCACAAGGGTATACAAAGGGGTGACATGAAGCCTTGTGGTATAAGAGCAACTGGTGAAAACAAATGAAGGATTTAATGGGAACAGAGAGATGAGCTGAGGTCTATACATCACATGTCCTGGCTGCTCTTGCCTGGGGCTCCTTCTCCAGAGTCAGACACAGACATGGCAATGGGAAGGTGTTCTTGAGAAGCTCAGATATGACCATGGAGAAGAGAGGGAAGAGAAGCCAGTTTGGGGTATACTGAGGGGATGTTGGCCACTCTAAAAAACTACACTTGCCCCAGATCTGTCTCCTTAGGAGATAGGGTCTCATGTAGCCCAGACTGACCTCAAATTCGCTATATAGCCAAAGATGACGAACTTCTGATCTTCTTGTCTCTACTTGAACAATACACCCTGTGGAGAAAGCCACAGTGCTTATTCAACAATGCCCATGCATCCTGGGTTGAGGACCACTGTTACTCATATCTGGCCCCTTGTATGAACCAAGCACATTGCTGCTGTGTCAGGAGAGTAAAACAGGGTGACAGCCTTTGCCATTTTGAAAATAAGAATTATTTGCCTCTAAAAAAAAAGATTAAGGGCTGGAGAGATGGCTTAGCTGCTAACAACCATCTGTAATTCCAGTTCCAGGAGATCCAACACACTCTTCTGACCGCCACAGGCTTTGTATGACATGGGTACACTTACATACATGCAGGCAAAACACTCATACACATAAAATAAAACTATTTTAGGGGCTGGAGAGATGGCTCAGCAGTTAAGACACTGGTTGTTCTTACAGAAGACCCAGGTTTGAATCCCAGTACCCACATGGCAGCTAACAGCTGTCTGTAACTCCAATCCCAGGGGATCTGACAGCCTCTTCTGACCTCCACAGGAATTGCACAACACGGGTGTACTTACCAACATGCAGACAATACACACAAACACATAAAATAAAATTAATACACAAAATTTTTAAAAATAATTCTTTTTTAAAAAAGATCAGTGCATGAAAGAAACCAGTTGGCAGAAAGACCAGGGCTAAATGCTAGGGGCAGAGTATGTGCAGAAGGAAGAAAATAACTAAAAGACACCTGATGTACAAATATGGGCAGCACAATGCAAATGAGTCATAGAGGGTCAGGACTCCCTGCCAGAGTCCCCAAACTTTGAACTGTTCTCAGGTCTCCGGCCTGCTTTCAATCTTCAGAGTGCACCGGTCTTAATAAACCACCACTATCCATG